TGACACCTACATCACGAGGTTATGAGGCTTCAACAAGACCATGTATGTAAAGGTGCCTGCTGCAACACTTGGTAAGTGTTGGCAATTGTTTAAGTAAATAGTTAACACTGTAGCTTAAAATAATAACAAAAGAACAGATTTTATAGCTGTATTTTAATTTATGGGAAATTTGAGGATTTTTTTTTTGGTGGGGGGAGGAGAAAATTCAACTATATAAGAGCTTCCAGGATAAAACATATTCTTATTTTTGCAACTATTACACAATTCTAATAAGATCAGTTACATTTTGCTCTTTAGTTACATATTTCTTACTCTTTTTAAAAAAATAATAAATCCTTTAATATGGACAATAGCTGTTCTCTGCAGAAAAATGCATATAAACGTGCTAATAAATGGATCCAAAATTTGGAAATAAAGCAAAAGAATAACTGTCATTTCAAGGTTTGCTAGAGTAGTGTCTAACAAGCCTGAATTTAAGGGATGTAGCTTTGTATGATTTACTATTTATTATTAATCAGGTCCCATTGCTCTAAAATACATCTTAACTTGTAGAAATTTGAAGAGAAGCAAATGATTTCTGTCCAGTTGAGGTGCAAATTATTTCTCTCCAAAAGAGAAGATAATCCCAAAGGCCATGCTCTGATTATCATGTGGTACATTAACCAGTTTTGAATCTAATTTAGCCAAACATTCCAGCTTTCTTTCTTTTACTGACCTCTTTTATTGATCTCTTGTATCTTTCTTTGAATTAACGCCACCTTGCTGGTTCCCTCATTTATAAGGTAAGTAAATCTTTCTCATGCTTGGAGTTACATTTGTAGCTTTTAAAAAATTATGCCTTGGCAAACAATGTATCGGTTAGGGTTTAAGCAAAACCATATTTATATTTTATATATATATATATATGTTTATGAAAAAAATATATAGTTAATTATAAGGATCTGACATTATTGGACTGTGGGAGCTGGTTAAGAGGTCTAAGGAAGGATGTAAAGTTGTTTTTGTGTCTGGTGGTGGCACCTGAAGTCCACATAGAGGCGGTTGGGAAGAGAAGATGAATGTGAAGCACAGCAAGTGAAGACAAACAGAATGAAAAATAAGCCGGTGTCTTCCATCATGGAGCTAAATATGCATCTGGTCCAGAAGTCGGGGATGCCGATTTGGCAGGAGGACCTGGCAAGGGCGCAGCTGCTGCCCCAGACCAACAAGGCAGGCCTGCAGATAAGTAACACTATGCCTGAGTTCCAACAGTGCTTGGTACCCTGCACTCGCCTTTCAAGCCTAAAAAAATAAAAACAAAAACAAAAATAAGACAGTCGCTGTTCCACTTACACTTTCTCAATCTTGTATAAAATGTCTTTTGAGGTCCACACTAACCTGGAAATCAGCAGAGAAGGAATTCTGGAAAACATAGTTCCAACTTAGCCAAGTTGATACTCTCTAGAATCCATCAGATTTCTCCTAAGGTTTTGTGGGGTGAGGGTTCACAGATCCCTGAAAGCTCATTGATGAATAGCCTAGGGGTTATGAACCCTGGGTTATTACAAATTTTTTCCTAGTTGTACATGATAATAGGAATTGTTTCAATGACTCGGTTAAGAAAACGCTGCCTTCCAAATTTAGGCTTATCAGCGTCAATGAATTTTAACAGCTGGAAGAATCTATATATTTGATTTTCTAATGTACTCTCTACCCTGGAGCAAAAATTTTGAGAAGATCATCAGTCTTCTCTAGGTCTAAGGAGTCACATTCTTGATATTGTTCTTTTTTTAGTTTGTTTTGTTTTCCAAATTTTCAAGTAAATGCACATAGTTTTTTTTTAAATACACATATTCTTAGAGATTTATTTCATATGCCACTGACTTCAGTCACAATTAATTATATAAAAGAAATGAATATTTTTCCTTTGACATCTCATGTTTCAAGTATTTTTAAGCTGTGGAATTGTATTGAAGATATTGCTATTTACTTTGAATTTTTAAACTTCTTAAACACTGGGTACCTTTTCATTCTTACCCTAGTTTCTTGGTTTTGAGTCAATAGGAAGCATTTTAATTAGATTACCTCTTGAACTTTTAACCAATCTTCAACTCCATAGAAAGGAGGCAGACCCTGGCCATCTGCTCATTGACAGTGGAAAGGCTCTCTATCACAGAGCTAGATAATAACAGCCAAGGTATTGGGGATTTTTATGTCATGCTGCTTTATTGCTATGGGAATTTGGCTACTTTCCTTTCTGAGAACTGTTTTCACAGAGAAATTGCTTTGTGAGATTTTACTGAACATTTACTTTTCCATCGTCAGTTGGTTCTGAAAGCCTTACATCTTACAGTGGATATAATGACAAAAGTATACATGTGTATAAGTAAAAACAGAAATCTTTATCTTTTGACCTATTTTCAAATTTTTACCTGAGATTTCATATTTTCTGGTGTTATAAAAATCATTATCATGAGGGTGAAAAATAGCAGTTGATGGAACTCTAATACCAGGGCAAAACATTATTTTAGTTTTTTAAAATTTATTTATTCAAAAACTATGTCCACTGAGAAAATAATTCTTATTACATACTTGGTTACAAAGCAAAAAAGAATGCTTAGGTTCTAGCCTTATGATCTATACAGAAAGTTTATTTTATGTGTGTTATTTGTAAAATTATATTTTTAATTTCTTAGTTTTTATATAGGATGACCTAATTTTAGTTGTGAGTCATAAATTTATACATAGCACAGCACCCAACAATAGGCAATAATAAATACTTGCTGAATGGAAAAGAAAGGAACAAATGAATGAATACATACATTTATAATGCTGTATTTGTCTGTTTAGAAACCTGGTTTCTAACATCAGTTAACATATTTACTACTAAAGCACCTTCTCAAACCGAGACATAGCCTCTATTGTACCCTGATGCAGCACACGCTGCTGGTGTTCAGAGGTGCAATGCAAACAGTTCTTGTGGCCAGTCTATACCATTCTGCAAATAATCTGGGGTCCAGAAGTCCTGGTCCATCTTCAAGAGATCTCACTAATTGTAGGAAACAAATAATATTATTACCATCACTGATGAGGACAAACTCACCTGAGGCCTGCTCATCATTGCCGCACCATAAAACTCTATATTGACCAACAAGACTTCTCATTTAAAAACTCATGAAATGTCTGCTAATCTTCTCTTCTGCTTTCCCATATTAAGACAGTTTACCATAATACACCCAAGTCTCCATAATTACTCTCAGTATCAGCTTCTGCTTTACCTCACTCTGCAATATCTTCATGTGTTATGATAATCTGAGCCTTCTTATACATTTCTATCCAGAAAATAACAGACAGAATTAGCTCTACAGAAATTGAGAAGGAATCACCGTTTGCCTTGTGTCGCTTACCCTTCCTCTATCCCATTTTCTACCATGTCTTGCTTTCAAGCTACAAAAATTCACCCTCAATTGGATATACGATTATCTTTTAAAATGTACATCTGGTAATCCCCCGCTTCCCAACTTTAAGTGGCTTGTCATTTCTCTTAAGGGAAAGGCCAGACTCTAACATGGTCCCCAAGCCTTGCATGCTCTTGTCACAGCCTAGCTCTCTGGCCCCATGTCTCTCGTCTTCCCATCGCCTCTGCCATCCGGCCACACTGGCCAGCTTTTAGTTCCTGGAAGGCATCCTGCTCACTCATGCCAGGAGGAAAGCCTTTGAACATATTGCTTTTTTTCCCCCCCTAATTGTGATAAGATACACATAACCTACAATTCACCATTTCAATCATTTTGAATAGACAGTTCAGTGATATTTTAGCAAATACACAATGTTGTATAACCATCGCCACTATCAAGTTCCAGACATTTTCTTCGACCCATACTTATTAGAGTTATTGCTCATTTTTCCCTACTCCCAGACCTTGCAACCACTAACCTAATTTCGGTCTCTATGGATTTGCCTGTTGGAGATATTTCATATAAATGGAATCATAGAATATGTGGCCTTTTGTGTCTGATTATTTCACTCGGTGTGTTGTTTTCAAAGTTAATTCATGTTGTAGCAAATATTAGTACTTCATTCCTTTTTGTGGCTGAATAATATTCTATTTTATGGGTATTTAACATACTGTTATTTTGCTAGAATGATTTTCCATCTTTTTGTCTCCTGTTCTGCCTTCAGCAGTCAGTTCAATGATCACTTTCTTAGAGAACTTCCCCTAGACCCCACCTAGATGAGGACATGTGCATGCTTAGGCCTAGCTTTACCTTCTGCATAGCTCTTATCTCTGCCTGTAATTAAACACTCATTTGAGGGCTCTTTGATTAATGGTCTTCTCCCCAACTATAATCTAAGATCCAGGATACAAGAAATCATACCTGTGTTAGTTCTATAGTCTATCCCTAGTGCCTATTACAGGGCGTGGTCCATAAATAAACTTTTGTGAAATAAATGTTGCAAAATGACCTCCCACTAAAAAAGTATATCTTTCATTCCTAATGATGTTTTGAATCAGAACAGAAATAACACTGCTATGGAGAAATTCCACTGAGGAGTTTCCCCAGCCGGGAGTAAGAGGCAGCCTTTGTTCTAGGGGAGGGTTCTTTGCTGCTCTAACACCCAGTGCCTACTGCACCTGTAAGCTCAGCCCTCTAGTCACCATTCCATTCACTCTAATCTATCCTGCTTCTACTTCACCTGAACTCAAAAACAGGAGTATTTGGTTCCAACAGCACCTGTATCTTGTCACTAGAAAAGTAGTGATCTGCTTTAAGCAATTATCTCTCATCCATCTTTTCTCTCCAATATTTAAACCTGATTGAAATTTGATGAGTTTCTGTAATGCCTGCAACTGAAGCATGCTCTTCTCTGTAAATAGGATTGTAATTATGTGTTGGAATGTAATCTTCATTACCTCAATGATGCTATTTCTTCCCAATCTTTTCCTGGTATTTGTAATGAGCTTAAAAGTAGTATTTCCTCTACGGCCATGCCACCCTGAACAAGCCCGATCCCATTTGATTCAGAAGCTAAGCAGGGTCGGGCCTGGTTAGTACTTGGATGGGAGACCACCTAGGAAGACCAGGTGCCATAGGTGTAAAAAATAAAAACTAAGGGATTGTAAACTGACAAGGTCCTTGCAATCTGTGTGATCAACCAAGAGTTGCGGGGCCTAAAAAAAGAAAAAGAAAAAGAAAAAGAAAAAGTAGTATTTCCTCTTTTATGCCCTTACTTTACCTCATACATAAACCATATCCTTTGTGCAAGTGTTTGCAGTCTACACAATACTGTCCTCTCTTTGGGTAATTACTTCTGGAAAACTGCCAGTCATTATCTTCTTAAAGTGATGGCAAATTCTTCTCTTGTATTTACAGACAGATGACAATTAAATTGAGGCCCTGATACAGTAAGAGTACAATTTAACAAATTTACTTGGTGGCAGCATTTTTATTTAATTTTTGTATAATTACTCATGAGAAAAATTCCCCCCAGAATGATAGTTTTATGCTGCAAATGAGCTGCTTGAAATTCTCAATGAGGCTTCAGATTAAGGGGCCGTTGTGCCAAATAAACTGCTTCATCTGCATGTAGAATCAGTATTATTTTAGTTTTTATTTATTATCTGATTTATTATGTCAACACAAAGAAAAGTGGAATTTTTGTTGGCCCAGATACAGCTAAAACCTACAAATGTTTCTTTTCTCCTCTAGGTGGGGGTGGGGGCTAGATGTGGATAAAGTTAAAGGCAGTTCTCTGAAGGTTGAGCTGTGAACATACAATGGCTGAACACAAATTTATTTCAAGAAACCTAAAGAAATAAAAATAAAAATGGGTTCCTGGCCTCAAAGACTATCAAAAACCTAATTAATTATGCAAATGTAGTAAATTAAAGAGGAATTATTTAGCCACAGAGGCACTGGGAGAAGGAGAGCACTATAAACATTGGCTATTCATATCTAAAAATTCAAGACTGACTGAGATCCTGGTCCAGTAATCAAGACCAATTGATTATTTGGCCCAAGCAATCAATTCCTAATTGTGTGGATAGCTATTAGAGTCCGATGTGGTATATTTCTGAATAATTACAAATCTTGGTTGTTCTGATTATAATTTGACATCTCATAAAACTTATCTACGGGAAGAATGTGTGCTGGTTCAGTTAATTAGTTGTCTATTCAATTTGGATGTTACAGTTCCCATTTTATAAAGTTAAAGATTGTTTTGGTTTTATATGCATATTTGTGATATTTGAAAGAGTAAGAAAGATGTACCGTAGAATGATCAACTTTGGAATATAAAGCAGATTAAATTTTGAGCTTGCAAGATCGAGCCAGCCCTGCAGCAGTGATGAATTCACCAAGACAAAAGCCAACGCACGGGCATGTTCTGCTCCTGATGGTGGCTGGTCACCCTCCCACAACAGCACTCCTTTCTATCTCTATAGGTATTCTTTTAATGTATTTATCTTCTTCTCTCTCAGATTTCTCTAAGGAGATGGAGAGATCTAATAAGAAAAAAAAAAGTATTTAGAGTCAAAGGATCGCAAGTTATAATATTCTTCCTGCCAGTGTTAAGTAACATTAGGCAAATTATATTTTTTCATAATTTCGATTTCATTATATCTTTAAACTGGAAATGCTATGTTGTGATTTCTTTTGAATATTAAATTAAAACTGTTTTTAAAGTGCCAGCCTAATGTGGCACTGACATATAGTAGCCCTCAATAATTCATCTGGCTGGGTATCAGCTGATTCTTCTTAAAAAGTTGACAAATAGAATTCTTTGTTTTGGAAAGGTATGATTATCGAATTGCATTCATGGAGTCCAACTGATTTATTTTTTCTGGGAAAAAGACTACAGATAGACACCTATATTTTATCATCAGACGTCCCCTGATGTCTGGACCTAGAAGATTAGGGGCTTTTTGATGTCTATACCGCTACAGACCAGATGAGTTTAGAGACAGCCTCTGAGCATGGGCATGTGCCAAGAATCTCCTGACACTCTGAGCATGTGAAGACAAATAAACAAAAAATCAGGAAAACAAGGATGGTCACACGCCAATATTCAGTTCTGGAGTATGGCTTTTGGATAAGCATATGCCATCTATTTCACATCCTGGTCTCTTCTTTTAACATCCAGCCTAATTCTATTCCCTGAATAACCAAGTACCAGATCAACATGATCAATATCCTCCTAAGATGTCGGGCTTTCAGCTTTTAACCTGCACATTACCATTTTTAAGTTCACTCTTAACAAATACCCTGTGACTGAAGAAAGATGACTCATTTCCATGTACTGTAATAGGATAATCTGTGAAAAAAATCTATTTAAGGCTGCACATCAGAAAAGAAACTTTTATTTATTCTAAGTATCTTTACATGTGGGCACATTTTTTTTTCTTGAAGGTGGGGTATTTTTTAATGTTGATGTTGGAAGACTCCACAAGTGAGGTCTGTGGCTTTCATAACTATGAAAGATTTCAGCATAAATCAACGGACACTTTCCTGGCCTGATCTGCCTCAGAAAACCGTCTCCAGCCAAACGACCAATTTAAAGGTCAATGTAAATGCTAACATTATTAAGCCATAGTGGTTGAAGAAAGACATTCAGCCGCAGTGGAATACTGCTGGAAAGGGGAAATAGCTGTTTATGTACTGTTCCTGCACTTATTTCCAGAAAAACGTTTCTTGGGTTTCCTTCTTTTGCACTGGGGTTTATTGCTTCGCATTGTCTGGGGAGGACAAAATTTGGGTTTTTCAATACATCTTTGGAATTTGGGTTTTAAATTCCATAATTGGGGCTCTAGGGAACTAGCAAGGAAGAACACCAGACTCCCTCATTATTGTAACGGCTTCCCTGAGCTGCTGGAAAGGGGCCTCATTATAGCTTCAAGTCTCTCTGGGGATTGTGCAGGTGTCTTTTTGAAGTTCAGGAGTTCAGTGAGGAAGCAATGTCTAGAGCATGCCCCCAAAGAGCACAGACTGTTCCAGAGTTCCCTATGCACATACGTGTTATTTCCACTAATAAAAGCAGCGTAGTGCAGGTACCAAATCAAACCATGAAACCATGAACTATATCTACTAAATGTGAGCGAACATGCCATTCATGCCATACACGATGATGATTCTTAACTAATACAGACTTTCGTTAAAACCCTCACACCTGCTCAAGAAGTCTCTGGGACCTCACTTTCACTTCATAATGCTATTATTTCGATCTTTAGTTTCAGTACTTCTCCATCTCTGTGTGGAGTGATATGTGTGTGTGTGTGTGTGTGTGTGTGTGTGTGTGTGTGGTGTGCATGTATGCTCATAAACACACACATGTATATAATCTTCATATCTTCATATTTCTCTTCTGGGCATGTTCTCATGGATCTCCCAAACTGGCTTCAACATTATTTCCACTCAAATCTTCCTTCCTTTTTTTCTTGTGTCTCAGGTCTCAGTGTAGGACATTGTCATTCACCCATGATGTTTGCCTTCATTCCCCATTCATTTTTCCAAATCCCTTTCCTGACCACCTTATCTATCTACTCCCCAGGCAATATCACGGTGCCCAGTTCGTTTCCTTCAGAGCATTTGTCATTTATTTATATGATTAAGTTAATTCCTAAAGGAGGCAGGGATCTTTTCTGTGTTATTCCCTGCTATAATCCTGGAACAATGCCTGGAATGTGGTAACCACTCAATAAATGTTTATTAATTAAATGAATGAACCAATAATTATCTCATTGATTCTATCTCTGTAATGTCTTGCAAATCACGTTTTTCATCCCTGCTGCTGCTGCCTTAGTTAGAGTCAGTATAATTTCTCATATTGGAGGCTACAAGAGCCTCCTAGCTGCTCTCCTAGCTTTCACTCTCACCCTTCTCTAAATCATTATCTACTTTGTAGCCTGGGGTCTTTCAAAACTGCAAATTAGCTCCTGTCAGTGGTCTGTTTAAAACCCTTAAGTAGCTTTCATCACAATATACTCCGCAAACATTTCTACACGGACCCCCTAAAGGCAGAGAGGAGAGTGGTGTAGAGATACGCTGTGATGTTATCCAACACAAGCACAAAATATCTTAGGACTCTCATAATTATCTTACAAATGTATGCAGATTTTGCATTCTACTCCTTTAGTAACAAATATTTTAAATTACTCACCACTAAGCAGAACCAAAGACCCAGGAAGACATTTGTTGTTTTTCCTGTGGTTTAGGGATATGGGCCACAGCAGGATATCAAAGTCTTGAGAAACATGAGGGCAGATGAAGGTCAGATGAACTAATTTGGTGCACAAGGCCTTTCAAAATCGGGTGCCTGATTATCTCTCACTCCTCACCTCTTGCCATTCTCTCATACATACCTCACATAACCCAGCTCATCTCAATGCCATCTGCATGTCCAAGGCTCGATTAGGTCTCCCTCCACTGTTCTCCCTCAGGACGTCATGCATCTTCTATTTGTACATTATCAGTCCTTATTGTTTATTTCTGTGTTCGTAGCACTCATTTACAATCCCTTAAGGAAAGGAGATGTACCTTATTTATTATAACTAAAACCTGGCACAGCACCTATCATATCTCAGGCACCCAACAAACATCTACAGAAGAAATTGGTGAGTTAGTGAATGGATTACTGTTCCAAGCAAATGTTCATTTAAAGCTACAAGGACCTTTATATCTGAGAATAAGTGACATTTTATTTCAGTAGCCTCCCTTGTGTGTTTTACTCCTTTTTTCCCAATACAGACATGTGAAAAAACAAACTTACTTAGTGTTGATTTGACTGCCCAAGGACTGAAAACTACTGTACTGCTCAGGATCAATACATTGATCCAAATTTACTAAGAGATAAATAAATTTCAAAGAACTATCCTCTTCCTTGGGAACCTGAAGGGATTTTTGAAAGCACAAAGACTCCCTAGCTTGAAGCAGAAACTGAGGAACAGATTTTTGATGACATTGTTTTGCCTAGAAGGCCCCTCGGAATCAGAAGTAATCTGCAAGAGTTTCAGAGGAAAGTTGAGCCCATGTTTAAGAAGACACTGGACCTTGCTGTTCCATTTTCATAGAGAATCACCTATCTCATTTGTTTCTAACTTTTACTATAGAATGTTGCCACTGATTAACTAAAGTCTGATTAACTAAGCTTTATTTGAATAATCTGATGAGCTAATTCTAAGGTTCAATATTTAAAACAAAACAAGAAAGCAGCACTTTGTCAAGGAAGTACAAGCAGTGGGGCCCCTATACCTCAAAATTCTTTTTGAATTATTTTGGCTAAAGCCAAATACCATCTGCATTTCATGGAGTCTTTAGTGTTGCATTACAGATGCTCAAGAGGAAAATTTTGCAGATGCAATCTTTTTACGAAAGGAAGTGGTTTGCTCTTATTAAAAAGTCTGAATGGGGGGACCAGAGGGAGAATGAGGAGGAACAGGAAGCAATAGAAAGGGATCTGGGTCCACCGCCATCCCTAGGTGCCTCATACATATAGCAATTGGCCGAGAATTGAAGTCAGGCAGCTGTGAGTCCCAATCCTCTGAGACCTCGTATCCTAGACCAACACTGGCTCAAATACATGATTAAACACTGCTCAGCCAACTGTACAAATATTCAGCAACAATCGAAATAGGTGTCTTTATTGATAGAAATAAAAATGCAAGCATTATTAACCAATGTTACCACAATAAACATAATTAAAAAATGCAAGCAAATAAGGTTATAGTAATCTACTCCCTTCCACTGCAATATAGAATATAAATCAAGATATCTTCTTTATAAATAGCTACCAATGAAGTCTTCCCGAACTACTCTGCCCTTTACTGGCTCACAGGTATCCTTTTTTTGTGCATGGGCTATGATTTGGGGGATGTTTAACACATAAGATTCATTACGTAGAGCGTTGGCTAATTTTGCTACAGTGTTTCCAGTCAGTACAGATTAATAAGAGGGATTTTATATTTTAATTAATTAATGTTAGTGAATAATTTCCTCTGGTTTTGAAAAGGTTGAAGCAGCCTATTTGGTGGCTGTTCCACAGGCTGATGGGCAAGCATTTCCTCTTGAAACTGGCAGAAGCAGCACCATGGAGACTCGGCCATGCCTTCAGCCACTGCTATTCCTTTTCCAAACACAAGGTGGAGACACGCAGAGCCTGCAGGATGCGGGCCTCTCCCCAGTCACAACAGAGCACCTCTGTTTTTGTTACATTTTCAGATAAGACTTGATTTTAGATTCTATAGCTTCAAAAAAATCTGGAAAACTACTCTCAGTAAATGAAGAGAAAGATAGGTAGATAGACAGATAGTATCCATAGAACATTGTAAATTGTTCTATATAAAATCTGCTGCTTCCAGCCATAAGGCTTTGTGAATTTAAACTTTTTCTCCTTCGCCAACACCCAAATATATTCAAAATCTTTCTTCCTACTGTGGGGATCGAGAGCGAATGTCCCTGAAATGCGCCACCCTGGCATGCAGATTATTTCAAACTAAAATCAACAAACTCGAGAAGAGTTTTTACTTACTCTTTTTCTAAAAGAGATTCAGATAGAAAATCTGCTTTAGGAAGGGAGTCTTTGCATAGTTGCCTTAAGGAACTTACACCTTAGCGTCGGTCGGGAAGACTACAAGCACATTTACTATACCACCCCGCACTCCCCACCCCCGTGTCCCAGCGTTTCTGAGATTCCAGCAAGAATTTTCCTGCCCTGTAGGTTCGCTCTTCCTCAACTATCTGTAAATCTCTCATTCTCACTTTCGGTATCTAATACTTTGTCCCCTCCCTTCTCCTTTGTACAAAATGTCTTATACACCCAGTGTTGCCTCACTGTCTTGGGAATTTTCATGCTTATGTGGATTTCTTACGCGCATGTATTAAACATTTGATTTTCTCCTGTTGTCAGTGAATTTAATTATTAGCCCAGCTACAAGAACTTAGGAGGTGGGAGGGAAAGTATTAATTTTTTTAGCCCCCCACAATTCTTGAAGCTTACCTTTATTCTGAATTTCTTCCTTCCTCCATTCCTTTTTCCTTAGCTAAATGATCAAATGAATCTCCTGCTACTTTACATTTTGCTGATAAGCAGTTCCTGTAATTAATAACCTTATCTTTCTGCATACGAGAAAAACAAATTTAATGCATTTTAATAAGGAGACTGGAAAGACAAGGAGACATTTTATTGCCATGTTGATTTTGATAAGACTAGGAATAATCTGGTGGGCTGGTGACTGCATGTAACAAATAGTGTTTGCACATACATTTTTTGTTACTCTTGATAGTGGTATATCAATATTTCTTATAGACATATTTCTGAATAGTTTTATAATGTAGAATTCTTTAACAAGCAAATCTCATTTAATAACATGATAGTTTTAAATTCATTGTAACTTTATATTTGATTTTAGTTGTGCGTTTGTAGTTCTCAGCTGACAAACTTACAGAGCTGAGAATCAGAAGGCATAGTTCCAGTTCTCCAAAAAACTCGCTCTTGACTCAGGGAAAACAGCCTGATTGTTATTTCCTTATTTATAAATTGGGAAGGAGGAGTTTGTGTGTGCCGGATCGATCTCTAAAATCTCTTCCAGATACAGCATTCTACAACTGCAGTTAATTCATTTGGGGCAAAAAAGCCAATTAAAAAAAAAAAATTGCTTTCAGCTTTTAATGTTAAAAATCCTTTGAAATGTGAATAACCAGGTTTCATTTGTCTGGAGCTAAATTTTTGTATATCCAAAATGAAGGCTGAACAAAGTCTATTCATTTGAAAATAGTGAAGTCTAGGAGATCATAATGGGTCCCTAACTGAAATAGCTCTGTAAGGGGCTCAGAATGATTTCTACCCTTATTTTCATTAGTGATTTCATTCTACAAAGAGGAAAACTGTATTGGTGTTGCACAGAGTGGTTAGTTGTCCTGGGCAGGGCTGTTTAGAGTCACACAGCTACGGAGGAGGGTTGGACAAAAATCCTGATATTCCAGACTATGGTGATTTTTGCTACAAATCTTGCTTTGGGAGTTCCCAGAACTATTCCTTTCAAGTCAAGGGCAGAAATTGAATGAGAGTGAATACCCAGTGTTCACTGAGCGAATACTCCTCAGATAGATTTGCTCTCCAACTAGGGAAGTGCATGCTTAATTGGGTGTCAGGGTGTCTTCTCCACTAGACTATAAGCTCATAGAAAGAAGGCGCCCTGTTTTACTGAATTGAGATGAGACTAGTACCCTCCATTCCCCCATCCTCACATCTAACCTTTCCACGTTCATTGCATCCTTCATCTTCCATTTGTACTAATGAGTGTATTCATTATTCTTCCAGGACAGGGAAAAGATTGATAATTTTTATAACCTCCTACAGTACCCAGACTGTGCCAGGCTCTCCAATATTTTCCAGTTCTCTGACTCTGTAGGCACTCAATAACTACTTGTTGATTGGTGGGTGAATCATATGGGCTGACTCCAGGAAAAATGGGAAGTTTGGATTTGGTCCCCTTTGATAAACTCCTACTTGAGTCTCTCATGGTATTCCTTCCCTCTCCTACCTCTATCAGCCCCTTTTGAAACAGATGAATCCTCAGTGAATCCCTCAGGGTCCTAAGCAACCTTGTTAAGCAGAAGTCAAGACCTAGGGATGGTCGGCTTTAATTATGGTTTAAGGAAACAATGCCTCCCCTTTGGCTGTCTGTCTAGTTAGTGACACTCTTATTGGAAGATTCGAGCAGGCAACCAAAGGAGGTTCTTGGCAAGATTCTATAGCCTTTAAGTCCATCTTAAAATAGTGTTAACCACTGCCCTTCCAGCACTAATCTCTTTCTTCATAGGGCAAAACTTAACCATTACATAACATTACACATTTTTGTGAGCTTGTATTTTGAACTGTATACCACTTGTGACTATTAGACTGATGAAGGAAAAAAAAATGTTTATCGAAATAACTTGTTACCAAGGTAAATTCTAATGATCAAACCAGAGCAACAGAAATTTTTTCTGAGCATTTGATCACGGCTTCAACAAATATCCTGTCTTTAAGAGTTTATTGCAAAAAGATTTCACCTATATTTATAAGGATGCTTTTCATTTATTTTTTTGGCAATTCTAAATATTAAATTTTACTGGTATCTCTCCTCTGTGCTCAACGAGTTAAGACAGCATCATCACTGATTTCTGCGCCATGTTAAGGCAAACATATTTCTTTCTCTTTTTGCCTTCAAAGATATAAAATCTTCATGTGCTCTGCATGTGGGTTAGGGGAAGTAACAATGAGAGGATTGTTCCAGTCCTTGATGCTGCCTAACCTCAGAGGTAAGGACTGTTATTCTTTCAAGCACTGTCCTCTAGTGGAGAAAATAAATATTAGTGCTTTTAGAACAAGCACTGCTGTTCAAGTACTAGCACTTGGAAAATGCCTTCCCCTAACCCACCCAGTGCTTTTCTTGGGAGAAATTGACCTTTTAACAATGTGAGTTAAAGTAACTGTTAACAAGAAAAATTCTGACAGCACGTGTACTTTTATATAAC